GGGAGGTGGTTGCATGTGTCAAACCACGGGCAAATACTTGGTTGCATTGTCTGACAGTATCTGCACTGGAAGCCTGGAAATCTCTGACTGTGCTTATTTCCTCTAACTGCAGTTGGCCCCTTTCAGTTGTTTCTGGTCTCACATACCCTTTGATACATCTGGGTTTCTGCGCAGGATGGTTTTCTGGTGACTTGGAGCACATAACTCTGTGCTATCTGGATACTGCTATGTGTTCTTATCTTCGTTACGGGCTCGCTCGATGGGCGAGTTCCTACCATATATGCTGTACCTGCTCCACTATGCGCGAAGCGGCAGTACCTCCAACTTGTTCTTATTAAGCTGCAGTCCCATTTGGGAATATAACCTATACCGCATTTTTCGGGCGTCCGACAGAGGGTCCACCTCCGACTACTGGAAAAAGAAAAAAAGAAAAGATTGCGACCCTGTGGGTCCGCTCGTTGGGAGGAGGGGAAAAAAAACAACAAAAATACATCGACATCAATGATGTCAGGGATGACCATGACTGTGGCCATACTCATACTACCGTCTTCACCCAAAAATAACGCCCGGGCATTATATTTGTTTATGCAAGGAATATGAGTGTGAACGATATACAGAAAACCAAGTTGCAAAATCACACAGATGTCTGAGTAGTCGTGTACAAGCAGAGAGTGCAACAGCGCTGAGAATCCATCCAAATAGAGCAATACAATGAAGTAATGAGCCAATGTCCAAGCCCGTAGGCCACACCAACACAGTATCCAAAGTCGCTCCTCTCTGTCTGGCGCCCAGCACCCCAGCCTACTCTACTCTACTAGCCTACCTACAGCTGTGTTCACGCAACAGGCTCACTTCGACTCTCCAAGACCAATGTACATGATGTCAACACCATAGCCAACCTCTCTTCATGCATCAGATACGTATCTCGCCACCCTCATCAGACCTTGAGAACCCACACTCGCCTCCTTCCCTGCAGACCACCAGATCGCCCGCTGTACCCCCTGGCACCCAGCAGCCTGGCTATGGCTGCCTGCGCCCCGCTGCCCTGCAGCGCCCCACTTCACCTCTGTGAGCCCCGTGAGTGCCCTTGGCCGCAGCGCAGCATCAAGCAGTAGCTCAGCAGCACGTCCGCATTGCCTACGCAGGCCAGAATACCTGGCCTGGGCTGCCTCACTTCTTTTATGGAAGTGGCAGCCTCCTGGATGCTGCGTGTGGCCTGGCTGGAAGCTTCCAGTAGCTTCCGGTTGGGCCTCAGACCCTGCGCCCAGGCCCGAGACTACAGTTGAGGGCCTGGGCCCCATTTACAGTTGGGCACGGTCTGAGTCTCTGGACTTGGGCTGTTTGCTGCATCTGTGCAGGGCTCCCAGGTAGGTGCGTCGACAGTACTGCTTTTGCTTAGGCCGATGGCCTGCTTCTCAATGTACCGGCCCTGCTTTGTGTGTATGCGCCCAGGCGCAACTGTCAAGGCCTGGGCCAACTGTACGATGCAGCTTAGTGAGGCTCGCGCGTCCGTTCAACCAACTGACGTGCTGCAAGAGCCTGAGTACCCACATATGAAAGTGTCGAATTTTGGCCTTTGATGAATATTCAGGCCCGCCTCCACTTAGGACGGGCACTTGGCTTGCTGGGGGCCTTTGCCCAGAACATGTGATGTCTGTTAGGGCCCCGTTTCTTGTTCCTCGCATTCCATCCCCCTTAGCTTCGAAAGTCCGCTGAGATGCTTCATGCTGGTGCCTTCCCCTTCAGTTTCTTCTCATATTCTGCCACGATCTGAGGAGCTGTCTTGACAAGTTCCTCCTTTGGAATCCATCGATCCTCCCTAGGATCAGTATGATGCCTGAAATGTACTCTGTACTCCCTTGCAGGTTTAGGTCTACCCCTGCCGGGTGGCTTGGGAACAGGCGTGTCTCTGTGGTCCAGGATATCGTCGACGTCCACGTGGCCATCCATGGTTGGGGGCAGCATAGATCTCCGTGATGGGAATTGTGCTGTCTCAGCGAAAGGTGCAAGCTTGGAGGTGTGAAAAACAGGGCAAGTGCGTAGGTGACCAGGGATACGAATGATGTACGAGGGACCATCCAAATCATTCCCCACAATATCTAAGACTTCCCAGGGACCGAAATATTGAGGCATTAGTTTCCTAGAGATGCCGAACTCCTGTCCCAACTCACTAGCCTTAATCTAGACACGTTCCCCTACCTGAAATGTGGACTGTCGCCGTTTCTTATTCTCATAAGCAATCATGGCTCCTTGAGATTTCTTGATGTGTTCGACAATCTGCTGAATTTCTCATACTGGATACCAAATTCAATGGTTCCAGGAGTTGTGGCAGTTCGGTTTTCAGGCAGGAGGAAGTCTAGAGCAGATCTGGGCTTCCATCCCAGATATAGTTGATTAGGACTGACGCCGGTGATGTTGTGTATAGCATTGTTGTACAGGCTGGCGATGAGAGGTAGTTTCTCATCCCAGTCATCCTGGCTGGGCTTGATGTAATGCCTCAGCAATTGCTGCACCACACAGTTCATCTGTTCAGCCTGCCCATTTGCTTCGGGATGATTCCCAGAGGTCATCTGAAGGTGACTGCCCATTTGTTATGTGGCCTTTTTCCACATCTCACTGGTAAACCGGACTTCTCTATCACTAACAATGGTCTTTGGCAGTCCAAATCACACACCCAATTGTCCATGAACAACTTAATGACGTGCTCAGTCCTGACAGTCTCCGACATGGGAATTAGTCTGGCATATTTAGTGAACCTATCCACTATGACGAAGATGTACCTCTTGCCATTCTTGCTGGTCACGAGAGTATCCATGAAATTCATGGAGATACTCTGCCCTGGGCCAGAAGGAATGGGTAGAGGCTTGAGTAACCCAAGCGGAGCTCGAGTCTGCGGCTTGTCCCGCTGACAAACCTGACAGGTCTGTACGTATGTCTTTGCATCGTCCAGCATGTTAGGCCACCAAAATTGTTGTGCTAAGTTAGCACTAGTCTTCTTGTAGCCGAAATGTCCCGTTGCGTCGTGGCACTCGCCTAAATATAAACTACACAAAATCTCCCTAGATGGAACGACTAACCTCTTAAACCCTGCCTTTTCAAGAAAGAGTAACCCATCCACCATCACAAACTCATTAGAGGTGGCCTTGTCTTTGGCCTGCAGTTTGTTGATGATGTCCATCGTCATGGGATCTTCCTTGTAGGCTTCCCCCAAAGATCGAGTAACGTCTTCAGATAAGCCAAACTCATAAATCAGCACACCTAGGTAATCTGCCCTTCGGGATAACGCATCTGCAACCTTGTTGTATTCTCCCTTCACATAGTCTAGTTTGAAATCATATTGATCTATGGAGAGAACTGGTTGCGTCTTGATCCACTTGAGGGTATGATGGTCAGTTCTCAAATGGAAGAACCTCCCTAACAGATAATGCCTCCACTGGACAAGTGCCTTGTAGAGAGCATGGAGTTCCCTCTCGTAGGTGGAGTTTGCCAACTTCTTTGATGGCATCTTTTTGCTCATATACTCAATTGGTCTCAACTTTTTCCTTTCCTGTTGAGCCGACACTGCGCCAATGCCATATTGGCTTGTGTTAGTGGTTACAACAAACGGCCTTTGCGGGTCGGGTACCATGAGAACCTCATGATGTGTGACAGCATGCTTCAAACGCTTGAAAGCTGCCTCACACTCGTCGGTCCAGTCCCATGGTGTGTCAAGTCGAGTTAGATCAGTCAAGGGATATGTGATCGTGCCATAATTCTTCACGAAATTGTGGTAATAACCACACATTCCCAAGAATGATCTGACTACAGTCACAGACTAGGGTCGTGGCCAGTCACGTATGCTAGCCACCTTTGCATCTTTGGGCCTAATCCCATCCGCAGATACTTCATGACCCAAGTACAAGATTTGAGTGTGACCGAACTCGCATTTCTCTGCATTTATCTTATACTTGTGCTGCCGAAGGAGTGAGAGCACTTTGTCTACATGCTGAGCATGCTCCTCGACAGTCTTACTAAAGATAAGTATGTCGTCGAGGTACACAACAACAAACTGATCCAAGTAGTCATGGAAGATCCTATTCATGGCGTGCTGGAATGTACCCGGCGCATTGCAAAGGCCAAAGGGCATCACCACAAACTCGTACAAACCGTACCTGGTCTGGAATGCGGTTTTGTGCTGGTCCTCTGGTCTTATAGCAATCTGATGGTAGCCGGAAGTCTATCTGGGTATAGTACTTACACCCCTGCACCCTATCCAAAAGGTCGTCGATGCGTGGTAGAGGCTCTGCGTTTTTAACGGTGATGGTATTGAGGTCTCTCTAATCAATGCACATCCTTAGTGTTCCCCCTTTCTTTGGAACAAATAAGACTGGTGAACCAAAAGGGGAGATGCTAGGCCGAATCCAACCCTTTTCTGTGAGCTCTTTCAGTTGTCGTCGGAGTTTGTCCGACTCGGCCGGAGCCATCCTATAGATTTTCCCTTCTGGTGTTTTCTTACCTGGGATGATCTCTATGGCATGGACAATCTCCCTGTCTACGACTCCTGTAGGCTCCTCAAACAGATCAGGGTACTTAGCGACGATGGTCTCTATCTCTGGGGATGTTTTAACGACCTCCCCTTTTGCAGAGACATAGACTAAGTACATACCTTCCTCTTGGTTCTGTTTATAATAATTATAAAAGGCCGATGCACACAAACATCCATAGGAGTCTATCAACCTACTAGCTTTATACTTAGCTAGTCTAACGGTCCTCCCATTAGGCAATTCGTGCTTCAGCACTTTCTTGTCCCAGTCAAACTGGGGCTTGGCAACCTCGAGGTAATACATGCCCAACAACATCTCGAAAGGCAAATCGTCGCTCACAAGGAATGATATCTTATGATTTAACTCTCCTCCTGGGTAGGAGAAAGTGCAGACCACGTCTTTAACGTAGTCCTCCACCATCATGCGCTCTTTGTTGGCCAAAGTAGATGCTACCGGTCTACTAAGGCGCTACACCCGATCCTTTAGGCGCAATCTCTCAACGCAGTCGCAACTTATGAAGTTTCGCGTGGAGCCAATGTCTACGAGGGCGCTGCACTTGCGACCACCCACACCAACTTCCACAACGAAGTGCTCCCCTCTGGGACCTCTACTTCGTGCCACCCAGGACTCACAAGGGTCCCTTGCCGACCACTCACCTTGCAGGTCTTCTAAGGCTTCAAACACATCCAGCGTACAGAGTATAGTTGGGTCCGAATGCGTCTGCGGGGTGACTGAGGAGTCAATAGCTTCGACCAACTCTTGGAGCGGGGAGGGTACATCACCTGCTTCAACGAGAGTAGAAGCAGCTACAACTTCTACTGGCCCTAAGTGTTTCCCGAACTGGAGCTCGTAGAGGCCCCAAACCGAAAAGAAGGAAACCCACCCTTAAGAGAGATCTTATGTGAGACCTTCGGGTTCTTGCACTTAAGCTGTTGGTGGCCATACGCGCCGCAGTTTCTGCAAGCACCGTACGACCAACGGTCCCGCAACACTTCCTGATCCAAACCGGCCCTCACCCAAGCAGCTATTTTGTTTGGGTTTGTGGCTTGTCTCTGACTCCTCTGTTGACCGCTCGTGCCGCGGCCACCTGCCTTGGTCTTAACTACGGCGGCGAGGTTGCTACCCTCACCACTCTCCTCGCGGTCTAACTCTGATCCCTCCACAAGCACAAAAACATCATCGATCTCAGTTTGATTCCCATCGGAATCAACCATCATCAATCGACTACCCTTCTTCTTCCATTCTTGTGGGGTCTTCTTCTTTCTTCCATTCGTAGGGGGGGGTTTGAGCACCACCCAGCATAGCCTTTAAATCTAGGGCCTTCTTACTGAATGTCTCAAACGTGTGATACCCTAGACGAGCCTCGCTAGCTAAGAGGTGCTTGATGTCTATGGGAAGACATCTCAAGAACATGGTCAATAAGACCTGTGGATTATACTCCACTCCTGGGACGACAATCAACCGCTCTACAGTTGTGGTCAGCTCTCTCACGGATTTGTACTTCTTGGGGTCAAGTTTCAGTAGCCCATCAGTGGCAATTTGCGACTGCTGAGGGTTGTGCCATCGAACCTCCACTAAATATATAAACCTTTCAAGGGTATGGGTCTTGGCCCAGTCATCCATGTTTTTGCCGAACCCTTTTGAAGCCACTAATCCATTTAGCCAACGAGTTGTTGAACCCTCTAAGTAGGATGCAACAATAATCACCTCCTCCTCTACCAGCGTCCTCCTTGCCCTGACCCACACTGGAACCGTTCTCAACCAAGTGTCGAGTGCCTCGTCCTTCGTATCTCCTGAGAAGGTTGGAAGTGGTTTTAGAGGGGTCTTGGGGTACCAAGGTTGCTGCTGTCCCACTGGTGAGACAGGTGGCGGCTGTGGTGTAGCTCCAGCCGCTGGACCAGAAGATGAAGAAGCAACAGTCTGAGATAGTGCAGCTGCTGAGGTACCGCTTGGTGATGGTCCGAACTGAGCGGCATAGGGGCCTGTCATCGCCGAGAATGGCAGTGATGGCAAAACTGCTGGCCTGATTCCTGGCATGTGCATTGCATTCAGGATTTGGTCCAACGTGTCCTGGATTGTATCCAGTTTGCTGTCCATGTATGCGTGCATGGACATGATGCTCGCCTTAAAAATCTTCTCAGTATTGTTAAGGGCCGAGTCATCTAACCCCTCTAGTGCAACTTTATCTGCCTCCCTAACCTCAAGTCTGACACTCCTGTCTCTCTTTTAGTAGCCCGTTTAAGTTCCTCCTCTAGTCTATTTAAGTTCCTCTTCTAGCCTGTTTAAGTTCCTCCTCTAGCCTATTTAAGTTCCTTCTCTAGCCTGTTTAACTTCCTCCTCTAGCCTCAAGCGAATCCTTTCTACGTGTTGGAGCTCCATCTGCTCCCGGGTGCATGGAGGAGGTGAGTTGAACTGCGAACCCGCCATCTGACTAGTGCCAACTCCTGACGTACTGGAGATGGACTGTGAACTGGTCGTGTTGAGTGGCATGCCCAAACTCTGACCAGTGGAGTTTGCAGCAGAAGTGGCTGAAGAGGTAGCCATTGCTACTGCGCTAGCTGCTGCTGCTGCCAACGCCCGTTCAACCGCTGATGCTGCCTCTCTCGCAGTCTCTAGATTACGGGCCCTTCCTTCGGCCCTAAGCCTCCTCTTGTCTACTGGTAGTAGAACCTGGAACACAAGGGTATTCTACCGATCTGCCATCGTGTTTGCCTCCTATCGCCAGCTGTACCTTCAGCACCCTCTGATCCACTCATGGGCTAGGCACATGCTGTCTGCACTAATGTCCTCTTTGGAACCTACCGCAGCATGCGTCTGGCTGGTTCTAAAAATAAATAAAATAAACAATGTCCGACGAGTTACCTAGACTACCGGTCAAGCGGCATCAACAACACCTACATGGACTGTACACATGTAGTCTACTTCTACCCTGATTAGTTCTGCACAAAAGCTTTAAGAAGAACTGACTATGGTAGATTACAGTCCTACGCTAGGCTGTCTGTTAGGTGTTAGCAGTCTCTCAACCAACTAATCAAGATAAAAATAAACTACAGTGAGTAGATGTATGCACAATGGATATGATAGTGATGTACAGTAGAGTTCACAATTGGAATCCCCTTCCCCTGTATCCAACGTCCCTGTGAGCATCATCAAGCTGCGGTGTTTAAGGTGTGCAATCACGGCCCACCCCTGTGCCCAAGGTGTATGCTTATGACCAGCCTACCCTTTGTTTACCCTCGCGTGCAATGAGCCTTACGTCCGACTGAACTGACTGATCAAGAGGCAATTTAAGGACAGCCCCCAAGGGTCCTCAAGAATTATTTAACGTCGCAATCAGGACAACGATCACAGCCAGTGGACAGATTGGACCCCAACCAGAAATGTTTATAGAAGGTCTGGGAGGGTATGTTCCATAAATATTTATAGACGGTCTGGGAGCGTCTGCATTAGGACTGGTCAGTCCACACACCCCTTCTATCAGCGCAGCAAAGAGCCTCGATGGACAAAGCAGCATAGCCTGCATGTACTACTCCCATGGGTTGGCATGGTGACCGTGACCCATGCTTCGACCAGGGCCCTTCAGAGGCACCACCCTCTCCTGCCAAATGCGCCACCGGGAAGAATGTCGTCTCTCAAGGTAGAGCGCACACGACTCCTCACCAAAGAGAGGACACTCAAGTTGGACTCACTTCCTCACGGTAAGAAGAGATTGAGAGGGTAGATAAGGAATGGGAACAACGTACCTGGAGATAGCTGCCCCCAACCACAAATTTCTCACTAATTGGGCCGACATGCATTTTGATGACCGGTCAATAGCCTCGGTACCACCCACAAAGCAATGCAGTGCCACCTCAGACAAATGCCACGTCAGCATACTCTCATCATCATACATACATCCGCTGTCACCACAGCTTGTCGCCACAGCCTTCCAGCGCCCGGACTCTCCAACTAGGCCCCATTACAACCAGCCAGCGTCAAAGTATCCTTACTGCCCATGAAGCATCATCACAATGTCGCCAGCGCCAGGTAAGCGGCGATTACAAACCGGCTTCGATACCATATTGCAAGGAATATGAGTGTGAACGATATACAGAAAACCAAGTTTCGAAATCACACAGATGTCTGAGTAGTCGAGTACAAGCAGAGAGCACAATAGCGCTAAGAATCCATCAAAATAGAGCAATACAATGAAGTAATGAGCCAATGTCCAAGCCCGTAGGCCCCACCAACACAATACCCAAAGTCGCTCCTCTCTGTCTAGCGCCCAGCGCCCCAGCCTACTCTACTCTACTAGCCTACCTACAGCTGTGTTCACGCAACAGGCTCACTTCGACTCTCGAAGACCAATGTACATGATGTCAACACCATAGCCGACCTCTCTTCATGCATCAGGTACGTATCTCGTCACCCTCATCAAAGCTTGAGAACCCACACTCACCTCCTTCCCTGCTGACCACCAGATCGCCCGCTGTCCCCCTGGCGCCAAGCAGCCCGGCTATGGCTGCCTGCGCCCCGCTGCCCTGCAGCACCCCACTTCACCTCTATGCGCCCCGTCAGCGCCCTTGGCCACAGCGCAGCATCAAGCAGTAGCGCAGCAGCACTTCCGCATTGCCTACGCAGGCCAGAATACTTGGCCTGGGCTGCCTCACTTCTTTTATGGAAGTGGCAGCGTCCTGGATGCTAAGTGTGGCCTGGCTGGAAGCTTCCAGTAGCTTCCGGTTGGGCCTATGTTGCATACTCGTGAAACGCAGTCATAAATATGGCGCAGATTCCCAGAACCGACCAGATAATACAGAGTAAGTACAGTTACAGCGGAAGACTTGATACACATGGACTGACTCAAACCTGACTCAGACTGCAATCAATCTCTCACAAACATGCATCGGTGGTGTGAAAGCCCTGGCCTTGGACATGGAAGAAAGGCCAGAGCCTACTCTCATACACAAATGAATGGAGGGGAGGAGAGACGGAGGGAGGAGAAGAGGGAAGATGACTTCAACTCAATGTTTCCGAAAATAGTATCTCAAAATGTCAGAAGTAGCGAAAATACGAAATATCGCGAATACAGAGCCTCACAGTGTCTCAGATATCGATCTCACAATGTCAAGATACATCGCCAGAGGTAGGTGAAATCAGATCCAAAAGTAGTCCTCAACCTGCAATCTCAATGTTGCTATCTCCAATATCATCAGAACTCGTAACCATCCTTCATACTCGTAGTAGCCCAGTAGGAGTGACCCCAGAGTAGACTTAGACTTAGAGGGTAGGACGAGAGAGAGAGAGAGAGAGAGAGAGAGAGAGAGAGAGAGAGAGAGAGAGAGAGAGAGAGAGAGAGAGAGAGAGANGAGAGAGAGAGAGAGAGAGAGAGAGAGAGAGAGAGAGAGAGAGAGAGAGAGGAGGAAGAAGAAGAGGGAGGAAAGGCGAGGCCTTTTCTCCCTGGCACCTGGCGAGGCAGCTATGGCGCTGCAGGGCTGGCGCTGGGTCGCGGGCTGGGCCGGAGGCTGGCGCTACTCCGCTGCTGCGCTAATTCGCTGCTGTGCTATTCCTCCTTGCTGCTGCACTGATTCTCCGCTGCTCTTGCTCATCCTAACGCTGAAAACGCTACGCTAATCCTGTAGACTAACCTCCTGTCGACTAACCTACTGACTGAGGCTGGTACCCAGCTGATATAGTGCTGGGTCGGCCTCAGTACTACTGGTGCCTTCGGGTCTGGACCGTTGATCAGGCCCAACAATTCAGATCCGATTTCGGAATCTGAAAAGTGGCGCCTAAACTGCGCCGCCGGCCGGTCCTACCGATGGACAGGTACCTGGCCTAACCAACTAGCCGTTGGGTCTGGTGGGGTCTAAACGAGGCTACATGACCCTAAACAGAACCGACGGTTCCTAGGCCCACCTGGACCTAGCTGGGACCGTTGTGACCCGGTACCTAGGCCTAACCCGTGCCTACTACAGAACCGGGCCCTAACTGATGCCTGTGTGGTATCAATATGCCACAACCTCAGACCCTGCGCCCAGGCCCGAGACTACAGTTGAGGGCCTGGGCCCCGTTTACAGTTGGGCACGGCTTGAGTCTCCAGACTTGGGCTGTTTGCTGCATCTGTGCAGGGCTCCCAGGTAGGTGTGTCGACAGTACTGCTTTTGCTTAGGCCGATGGCCTGCTTCTCAATGTATCGGCCCTGCTTTGTGTGTATGTGCCCAGGCGCAACTGTCAAGGCCTGGGCCAACTGTACGACGGAGCTTAGTGAGGCTCGCGCGTCCATTCAACCAACTGTCGTGCTGCAAGAGCCTGAATACCCACATATGAAAATATTGAATTTTGGCCTCTGATGAATATTCAGGCCCGCTAAGCAAATGAGCCACAAGCCTAGACAGACAACGGACTCAGCCCGGTGGTTTCGATGGAGGGGTTTAAGAATAGAGCGAATGAGGTAGGGAAACAGGTGGATTGGAGGAGTCAAGGTCTGGTCCTTGGGAGCTGGAATGTCAATGGACTCGGAAATATAATGGAAAAGGAAGAGAAATGGAATGATATATGGGCCGGACTGTCACAAGGCAGCAAAAGGACTGCTGACGTAGTGATGTTCCAAGAAAACCATCTCTCCCTGTCAATTGACCACAACAGAATACGTAGGTTCATTGCAAAAAAATTAGGCGGCCTGGGAGTCGAAGTTTGGGCGGCGGATCCAGATTCCAGCACAAAGGGAACAGCCATCCTGATCCCCAAGGCCTCCCGCTTCTACCAAGCAGGCATGGTGATTGACAAGAGGGCAGACCAGAGGGAAGGGAGATGGTGCTTATTTCACATGAAGTGGAAAGAGGAAGAATTCGTACTCCTCAACATCTACGCCCCAAACTATCCTACGGAGCGCGCAACATTTATAAGACAATTAAGTCAACTGTTCCCCCCACTGACCCCGTGCATTATAGCGGGAGATTGGAACGCCACAATTGAGCCGGCAATAGACCGTATATCCCGATCTGCCAGTCTATCCAGCTCAATGGAAGTTGTTCCAATCCAGGAACTGATG